CCAATACTGTACTTGGTATCTAAGCCTAAATGGGAGAAATCATTGACCAATACTTTTCCAGCAACTGTTGGGTAAAGTATTGGTTTTCTGATACTATACTCAATACAATATTGAAATTGACAATACCGTCCCAGGGACCTGGGAGTAAAGTATTGGTCAGACCAATACTAAGTATTGAGATACTGATACTGGAAAAAAAGTTACTTCAGCGTCACTTTACTGTAAACAGTAAAGTAACTGTGGCAGCTTTGCAAGCAGCATGGCCAACATATCCAGCCCAGCCCAGCCCCATTCATTTCCTTTTCCTTGCTACCAGCAGCACCAATCTAACATCCCCCGTCAGATTGCTCTGATTTGTTCTGGGTTTCCACACTGTGTGCTATACTTGGGCTAGCCTCGTGTTACCCATAACACTGTGAACATCATTCAAGTTCCCCAAGTTCAAAGAAGAAACTGATCAATAGTACAATTTGTCATAAAAGGATCCAATACTGCACACCTGGGCTATAACACCCACACTACATATGTGCAGCAAGCTAAGTAAATAGTTGTATATCATGCACATACAGGTCTGCTCAGTCTTTTGCCCATCAGAATAAATAAATCACATGTTATACCATGTAACTTTTATGACTTTGAAAAAATTGTCCCAAAAATTCACTACATTTAATTCTGTAGCTGCTCAGGCAATATTGTTGAAGCTGTTTCTTAGTAACAGAAAGGATGTTACATGCAGTTGAGCTGATGAGATTACACCAAAATGTTGAGTCAGTGTATGTAGTCAATATTTTGAATGCTTTTGTCATTCTGAAAAAAGTTACAGCATGTATTACATATGAATAACTTATCCTGATGAGCTGATAGCTGAGCAGAACTGTTTGTACATGATAACCACCTATTCACTGAGCCTGCTACACATATGTAGTGTGCGGGTTATGGCTCAGGTGTGGAGTGATAGATCATTTTATGACAAATCATACTCCCAATCATTTTTTCCTACCCACTTGGGGAAGTTGAATAATGTTTGCAGTGTGATGGATAAGATGATACACATGTGGTTGTGAAGTACGTTCTGCTGCATTAAGATCCCAACAAACACTAGCAAAGTTTTTCTCCTCAAGTGACCTTTGGATAAGCATAGCTACAGCATCCTATGTGGATTGTGTTCAATGGAGCCCGCATTTGTGACTGCGGCACCCACCACTCAATCCAGCTAGTGGAGTCCTTAAAGTATACTACTGGATTCAAGAATTAATCAGTGAAAAAGGATCATCTTTCTAATCAACCTTCCAATTGTGAATCAACTCTTACACCAAAAGATCAGCTCCTATATCAAAGTATTGAATCTAATGCTGCTGCTGCTACTACTACTAATACTACCACTGAAACATTAATGAAAAGTCCAAGAAAACCAGCAGATGATCAACACTGCAGACATTATTCGGGTTCCCCAAGTGGGCAGGGAAAAATGATTGGGAGTATGATTTGTCATAAAATGGTCTATCACTCCACACCTGAGCCATAACACCCACACTACATATGTGTAGCAGGCTCAGTGAATATGTGGTTATCATGTACATACAGTTCTGCTCAGTTATCTGCTCATCAGGACAAGTTATTCATATGTAATACATGCTGTAACTTCTTTCAGATTGAAAAAAGCTTCCAAAAGATTGACTACATACACTGACTCAATGTTTTGGTGTGATCTCATCAACTCAACTGCATGTAACACACTTTCTGTTACTAAGACATAGCTTCAACAATATTGCCTGAGCAGCTACAGAATTATATGTAGTGAATTTTTGGGAAAAAAAATTCAAAGTCGAAAAAGTTACATGTGGTATAACATGTGATTTATTTATTCTGATGGGCAAAAAACTGAGCAGACCTGTATGTACATGATAGACAACTATTGACTTAGCTTTCTGCACATATGTAGTGTGGGTGAAATGGCCCAGGTGTGCAGTATTAGATTATTTTATGAAAAACTGTACTATTAATCATTTTCCTCTGCCAAATTGGGGAAGTTGAATGATGTTTACAGTGTCAATGTCCTATTTAAGACCAAAGACAGCATAAGCTAGTATCAAAATTCAAACTGAGGGTGGTTTAAGGTATAGACCTAGATCTGTGATTGGACAAAGTGAATTTGGGAAGGATGAAGTGAATGTTGAACCTAAGAAGTTATTTAAAAAACATTCAATGGGGATTAAGAGTGATCATACTAAGCCATTAGGATGATTAAAAGTCCTAGAGTTAAAGAAGAAAAGAAATTAGTAGAGGTTGATTTGGGTTATGTAGATTCTACAAATCTCTAAACTAAAAAGATGCAATCCCGACTCGCCACTTTTGGTACTCCAAGTCCCGGTTTGTGCTTCCTTTTCCAGTCTGTTATGTACTTTGGGACCCATTATATATCATATTCGCTACCCCTTGCTCTTTGTTCTTTTGCATCTCGATTCGACTTTTCATTACTACAATTCAAAAGAACCATTCAATTTCTGTTGTTGATCAATTCCCATGTGTTGGTACAGATTTTTCAGACGCCAATCGCATGGAGTTTCTTTTCCTCATTGCCTTTGCCGTTCTATTTTTCAATGTCTCCGCCAATTGATGCACCTTGTCTTGATAAAGCATCTACCGCTACCCTTTGCCTTTGTTTGATGTTACTAAAGGAGGCGAAATTCTTTTGTGCTTTTCCATTTTGTTCCACATATGCACCTACTTTTTCTGAAAGTAATGCAAATGTGGCTGCATGGTCATTGTCTTTCACCTCACATGCCCCTCACATGTCGGGTGGCTTTTCACCTCCTCACCCGTTTACATTCTACTTCTCTTTTTGCCTTTGACTTCCAAGAAAATGTATATAAGGTTGATCTTTTTGGTGCTCTGTTCCAATTCGTCAACCCCTTCCGAAAAAAATTCTCCCCTACTTCCATTTCAATCTCCTTTTCCAATCCTTTCTTAACACTGTTCTTCAATTCATTTAGCCTAATACATTGTGGTACTCAATACTGAAGGGCTCAATTTTCTACCACATCACCTGTTTTGATGCTTTTGGAACAAAGACAACTGAAAAGCAATATGGCATAACAGAATGGTGAAATCAACAAACCTGATATCTTATCATTTGATAATGATATATAATCCGAGATGTTTGAAGATAACCAGCATTTGCTTTTGTTTGGCCCCAAGGAGAAAAGTTGTGAACACAAATCCTGGTTGTTTTGCAAACATGAAAGGGAACAAGAATCATATACTCTTGTACGTTAATCAATTGTCTTGATGCTATTTGCTCGCGCTAATGGTGTTTTGATCAGCATTCAAGGCGCCTGCAAGTACCAAATCAATTTTTTTGCCTACGCCAATGAACCGAGTTTACTGCAAACCAAGTTCTAAACTCTAGAATGGTAGTGTCCAATCTCAACGACTCATCTCCAACTTTTTTTATGAAGTTGATCATGCTATGTTGGTCACGACTTCTTGCTATGTTAAAGGTTCCTGGCAAACAACACCACAATTTCAGGTCTGGAAATTATTGTAGACCATTGTACTTTGCAGGAATAGTCCTATGTTAAACCGGCTGTGGTGGCTATACTCGAGCACTCAGATGATGCCAATGCCGTGGGTCTCATGATTTTGCCGTCACTAACGCGTCACTGACATTTTGTGTATCAGTCCAGGGGAATCATTGTATTTAAGGTAGCTTGTTACATGCGACCTCTTCGAAATCTACTCGCCGTTCCAACTCTCTTTCAAGTTAATCGAGAGTTGGTTGTCACTGGGTACATGGTTGAGTTTGACGCCAGAAACAACAGATTTTGTATATGTGATGCAACTTTGCTCATTCCCTTCTTCATTTTCATTTTGTTCATCGGCTATGGGCAATCAACCCTCATGTTTTAGTTTACTGGCATCTTCACTCACCTTGAGGCAGGTATGCAATGCTTTCCAAATATCATGTACTTAATTAATATATGTGAAAATTCCACAGCGTAGGGAAAACTTTCCACCACAAGCATAATTTTTGTTGAACTCGGTTCAACAGACCAAGTGTAATCATCTGTTTTTGTGGAACTATGGCCTTTACTGCAAGTAAAAATTCTATATTGCTTAGATTTTACTTGATGACATCAACTCGAGTTGAACTAAGTTGTTGTTGAGTGTCAATGAAAGAGTTACTGATAAGACGAAGAATATGTTCCAATGATGGACATGAATTTTTCAACAAGCAGCCTGGGTAGGGACCCGGTGCCGTCTGGCGGGCATGCCCGCCGGTTCTCTAGTCATTCAAATTGAAAGAGTGGTACTCTTATTAAGAATTCATCAATGAATAATCTTAAAAAGAATAAGAGAAGTCTGTTGCTTAGTGCTAATGATCTTGAAAGAATTCAAAGCTTAATAAACAAAAAAAGAAGTTCAAAGTAATATTTCAGTGATTCAAATTAGGACAAGAACCATTAGTGTGCCACATGTCAAAAACCTTAGGTAAGCTGTGTACTCTCAAAGACTTTGCAACCACTATCCTCAGATGCTTATAAGATGGTGTCCAACTGGCTTCAGAGAGCTTCACATAGTTGGGCCCAGTGTCCAGGACTGTCACTGGGGAACTCAATGGGCATGAAGTTGATCAAGTCACTCTCTTGATGCCTCTCAGGTCTCATCAACATCCCACCTGCTTCTCCATTTCCAGTAACAAAACTAGTTGTAGAGCACACTGCAACATATAATCCCAATTCAACGTGTTTACAAATCCCAGAATTCATCATAATAACAATTAAATCTCAATGTATTTGACAATTTATTCATTAAAGTAATCTCAAGTATTGTCACCATAGTTGTTATACGATAGTGCGAGTCAAGATCTTCTTGAAAAAAATAAATCTAGTCACATGTAGAGCAGAAAAGAGATGAGATCAATATAAAAGTGTCACTTGAAAATTGGACAATCAAGATCAATCTGACCATGTTAAGCTGGCAGAGACTTCTCCACCGCTTTATGCACGTCTTGCGGATGCACGACGACCTGATGGGGATGGAACTGGTGCGGATTCACCTGGTGGGGGTGCAGGCTCAACCTTGACCTCAAAGGCTAGCACTCCGTCAACCTCCTTAAAATCTGTGGTAGGATCAATGACGTCCTTTAGATCCGACCATTTGTTTACGCCAGCTTCCTTGCTGACCAAAAACCTGTTTCTAACATGACCCTTATCTTGATCCTTAATTTTGATCAAGTAGTGTGTCCAGTCTGCGTCCCGAGCTATCTGAAATTGTGGTGCCATGACCTCCTTGCCGTATTGCGTCAGCATGAGCCCCGCTCGCTCGGGAGCGGGGACCGGCGAAAATCCACCCCGAGCACTTTTTGGAAATGCATCCCGGCTTCCGAGCCGACCCCTCCCCGTCGGGGATCTTCATGTACGTCTTCAGACCGCCCCCCGCCACCGAAAATCGGGGGCCTACCACTGGGAAAATGTAGTATTTTTCCCAAGTGAAAAATGATTGACCTGAAGGACAAAAAAAATTGAAAAAGGTGGAATTCTGCATTCATTCTGCATGTGCATTAACACTGCATTTTTCTGCATTGATGCTGCATTTTTTTTCATTAATGGTGCATTAATGGTGCATTTTTATGCATTAACATAGCATTTTTAATTATTTTTGACATTAATTCTAATCATTTTGCATAGCCGAAAAATACTACATCTGTGCAGTGTACCGAAATATCGGTTCCCCGTCGGTTCCCCGTCGAGTGTTAGTCGGTAGAGCTTGCTAGATCAAAAAAATTCATAAATCTGCTTCACGAGCAAGTTCCGGCTGATATTCTACTGTTTCGTACAGGTATTTCATTGTATTTGATTCCTTATACTGATGTATGAGTTGTTACGAGGCCTTCCTCACCTTTCATTTCTCCCTATCTGCCCTCGATTCTACAGCTCTCTGCTATAGCTCGGTTCCCCGATAAAAACCGGGGATCCTCATACTCTTGCCCGGTCCCCGCTCCGTCGGAGTCGGTACGGTGCCGGGGGGCTGAGATACCTAGCCCGAGGCACCGTACCGACGGTACGGAAGCCGGAGATCCCCGAGCCCGCGGGAAACGGGGCTCATGCTGAGTATTGCGTGTTTTTAGTCCTCCACTCCCACGCAAAAGGTCCTTCTCGTATCTCATGCACTTGATTGATCAAAACGTCGTAGTAACCCACGTGTACGTAAGGCATGGCGGTCAAACCATTTATCAAAAATGTGATGGCGAATAATAAAGCTCCGATGAATTTCAATGCATCAGACATGTTTTCGGTGTCTAGTTTTCATGAAATTCATCATTAAATCATCAATTGTTCATGATTGTAAAGTCTAGTTCAATCTGGTCTTGGAATGCGAAAAGAAAAGAAAAACGTGTATACCCACCTAGGTTTCAACTTTCAAAGATTGCGAGATCGCACTGGTGCTGAGTGGTATCGTGGAATTGCCTACGGGGTCATGTAAAACAATCCTCAATCTACTAAATCACTAGAATATCGTTTAAAAACTCACACTGAATAATCAGGGCTCAGAACTATAAAGATCAGGTGGATTGATCGCGGTATGGCTGTTGAGAGCATTGATGAGAAAGAAGGATGGAGATTTATAGTCAATTTGCCACTGCATCCCTTGGGAGTGAAATGGCTGCAACCGAAACAAGAGCATTCCATTATGAAAACCCGTTACACTCCGGAGCCCATTAATTTCCGACCCTAGCGACTTGGAAACGTTTCTTTGAATGTTAGGATCGAATCAAGATCATAAAGTTAGACTTATCGATCGCGTCAGACTCAAACATTGCAAAAGAGGGTAAAGACAGGATTATGGCGAAGCTCAGTTCCATCAAACATTTCACTATCACCCTGGTCATGAGTCGAAAGGGAGTTTAAATTCCATAAACCGTCGGGCTTTAGATAAGCCAAACCTAGCGGGATGTAGGTACGTACTAACCATTACAAAACTTTCGGGTTATAAAATGAGAGTTGAACTTGCAAGATGAGTTTTGCGCTGTTATGGTTTGATCGAATTTAAACATAAAAATTGCCATGGTTGAGTTTGACCATCGACATCAGTCACACCCCCCATGAATAGGAATTCAGAATGATCATTACAAACTCGTTAAAAGATGATTGACAACGACTTCTTTCCTCAACCTTGTCCAATCCGGTTGGTAATCCTTTTCTTATCTTTACATTTCACCTATTTCTCTATATCAAGCTTATGATTTATTCAGGGCAACAGGTGGCTTGCGGTCCTGATAATTGGAGCTCACTTTGGAAATGTCTTCCGAGTGGTTTGAAAAGGTATGTACCTCTCTTATGGGTAATAAGACTCTTTTCTAAATCATTATAAAGAATTAAAAGAAGGAATTCAAAGAGCTATACATATTGAAACTGCACCTTGGTATACAAGATGGTTTAGATCACAGTGAAAAAACAAACAAGTACTGAATTCAATTCTCACAAAAATTCAATATCAATTGAAGATTCTAGTATTTATCTGTCCTCATGTTTGATTCAATTGCTTCTTTTCAATCATGATAAGATTATCAAAAGGATATAATACAAAATTTAGATTTCCAAAAAGTGACTTATTTAATACAATTTCCTAATCAAATATCTCTTTGAAATAAACTCGACTGTCATCATCTACCAGATTCATTCTTCCATAGGTTTTAGAGTTGGATTTTTCGCTCTCATATCTTCTTTTTTCAACTGCTTTTTCAGAACCTAGGGGAAAAAGCATCCAGTGAAGTCAATGAGGCAGTTCAAAGTCTATGAGAGAACTAAAAACAAAAGAGTCAACAAAACTGTTGTTGTTTCAAAGTTTGAGCTGGGTCTAAATCCAATGCATCAGGAGGTAAAGTAGATTGGTTTCAGTTAAATCTAGCTCGATCTTGTTCCCGAATCATATCCGCAAGTTCTAAATTTTTAGCTTCAATATTCCTTTTCTCCGTTCCATTTGATCAATAGCTTCTTGAGCACTATTAGCTTTCGATTGCATAGCCTTGAATTTACTCAACATACCTAAATATTCAGTCCTTAATTGTGAATAAAGATTAGCCAATGCTTCATATTTATTCTTCCGCTAAGTTACTTGATCCTGTAATGAGGTCATCATCTCATCTTTTGGAGAAAGTTTTGCATCAATGTTTTGTTGGACCATCATCTATCATATTGTTCTGACATCATTTGATATCTTTCATACTGTCCTCTCATAGCTAAAACTCGTTCAAGGCTTGTTTTTGTTCATATTCTTTTAACATTCTCGCTTGTTCTGCTATATCAGGAGCTGGTGTTTTGAGGCTTAGGCGGGATCGGTTTCACTTCTGGAGTCTTGGCTGGTCTTCGTAGTAATTCGGGTGCATCTCCACTATTTGTCAAGTGAGGTGGCTCTTGAGGAAGTTTAGAAATGTTGATCAGACCAGTGAGATACTTGTAATTACTACACTTGTAATAAAACTTTTGTAAATTAGAATGCTGAGCATTGAATCACTCTCGTAAAGGTTGTAGTGCACCCATCGCATCAGCACCTATGGAAGACAGTTGATCTATGAGATAAATCATTCAGGTTGATAAATCTTGTAAAAGCATCAAACAGATTATGATTCAATTACTTACGACAATGCATGGCTCTCAGCATACTAGTGATAAATTGATGGATTTCCTGAATTTCCTTGACGTGAGGCACAAGCGCATCAATTCAACATTCATGGTTGATTAAATCACGAAAGTGTGCAAAGATTAATTTTCGAAAAGAATCGATTTGATTTTGAAGATTCATCAAATCCGTAATAGTTTCCTAACTATCAGTGAATTAAACAAATCGAACAGAGTTAAGAGTCAGTATATAATGACGAAATACATCAAAGACCCTGATTGTGATTGCAGATTGGAGATGATTTACCCTTCATTAGGATCATCAATATTATTCAATGAAATATATTCCTTGTATTGGAGTAATCCATCAAATTCAGGATGTTGTCTATGAAACCTGTGTTTAGCCAAGATAGTAGAAACATACGCATGAATCAAAGCACCATAACCTGCCAACCAGAAAAGAAGAGGATACAGTTAGAAATTACACTCGATTTTAGAATAGAATTGAGGATTTAGGACATACCTCATAATCCATCATGACCAATTGTTCTTGCATAAGTTTCTAACTAACCTGACTGTGGTTGTCCTTCTCTTACAGTAAGTGGATGATCTTCTTGTAAAACTTTGTGTACCATAATCAAAGCTTTGAACATTTGAACTTCATCACTTAAAATCGGTTGAACTCTGAGTCCCGTCCAAATTGATGCCGAAGAATGATAATCTCAAGTATAAAGAATACATTCTATTAAAAATCAAACCAAATCCTAAAATCAGTAAGAAGCCATAATTTGATGAACAATATTGGGTTTGGTTGAAAGAAAAACATGAGACTGAACTTCAAACATGCTTTTGTTTTGGTGCGGTTTCTTCAGGTGAAGTTGCTTTTTTAATAATGAGAGTTACTGCTGTTAGAACAAAGATTGATTTTTTTGGAAATCTCGCCAATTAGGGGATACAAAGTTAAAACTGGGAGTTTTTTCCCAGTTTCCCAGTTTCCCAAATACAGCCAAAAATGCAAACTGGGAAACTGGCTGAACGTGGGAAAGTTCCAAACACAGCCAAAAACAAAAACTGGGAAACTGGGAAAAAAATCCCCAGTTTTAAACTTTGTATCCCCTAATTTAACAAGATTCGTGAACATCAATGTAATCACCAAACGCGGACTACCCATTTGAAACAATGTCAAGGTCAAGTAAAACAAGATCCTCAATATACATGGGAAGCAGAAGTTCATGAGGAACAAAACAATAATTGCAAAGCCTTTCGCTTTTATTCCTTGAATAAGATAACTAAGATAAATAAGATACCACCGAGAGGCCAGTTCTAAAAGGACAAACAGGGACATGTCTAAAAATCGGTATCGATTTCAAGAGCACAAGTAACATCAATATCCAAACCACAATCATCACAAATTTTAAATATCTTACAAAATGCTCGATTCTGAAAGCCGCTTCACCAAACTCAGTCATCATCTTCATCATGACCACATGACCATATGATGTTAGAATCATACATATATGGTTATTCAATGAGAGACAATGAGGGCCTACCTTCGTTACATGATGCGACCAGATTGACCATGCCAATGAAATCTTCAAACTCCTTCTGCACTTCCTTGATGTACTTTCCCAAATCAATGATGCGGATAAGATCATTTGGAACAACGTCTCCATGCAACTCAATGTGTTGAAGGGTATCTTTGATTAAACTTTCCCATATTTGGTGTAACGAGAAGAGACGTGAATAGAAATCTTCAGCAATAATTAACATTGTGATGAGTGATGAAATGAGACAAGCAACTTGTATATAAGAATCAATTGTGGGAATACTTTAAAAAGTCTTGGTTGATTTTAAAATGATCGGTCAGAAGTACGAATGTTGCGTTTGGAAGCACTCGTTTTATGGGTGTAGCTTGAAGTTTTTGTTTGGATACTCCAAGACCAATAACGATCTGATATTGTCAAATGCTTCAGCTTCACAAAGGAATTTTGGGATCTCATTAAAGGACAAATACAAGCTGTTCACAGAACAACCTATCTCAAGATATGCTGATCTGTCTGGTTTTATTTCATTTGCTTCAATGAATATATAAACTTCACTGCAAACATCATTCAACTTCCCCAAGTTGAAAGAGGAAAATGATCAATAGTACAGTTTGTCATAAAAGGATCCAATACTGCACACCTGAGCCATAACACCCACACTACATATGTGCCGCAAGCTAAGTAAATAGTTGTCTATCATGTACATACAGTTCTGCTCAGTTTTTTGCCCATCAGAATAAATAAATCACATGTTATACCACATGTAACTTTTTTTACTCTGAAAAAAGTGCCCCAAAAATTCACTACATATAATTCTGTAGCTGCTCAGGCAATATTGTTGAAGCTATTTCTTAGTAACAGAAAGGGTGTTACATGCAGTTGACTTAATGAGATTACACCAAAATGTTGAGTCAGTGTATGTAGTCAATCTTTTGAATGCTTTTGTCAATCTGAAAAAAGTTACAGCATGTATTACATATGAATAAATTATCCTCATGCGCAGATAACTGAGCAGAACTGTTTGTACAGGATAACCACCTATTCACTGAGCCTGCTACACATATGTAGTGTGGGTGTTATGGCTCTGGTGTGAAGTTATAGATCATTTTATGACAAGTCATACTCCCAATCATTTTTTCCTGCCCACTTGGGGAAGTTGAATGATGTTTGCAGTGCTTCCAAAGATAACAACAAACATAACTTAGAACATCAACAATTCATACATAGACAAGTGGTTCAATTTTGGTTCTTGACATGTTGGAAGAAAGCTTCTGCATGAATCAACAGTTGCATGCGTATACCATATGGAATACCCCAACCATTCATATGTTCAGCGGTGATGTGATCAAGAAACATGAAGTAATGAAAATCATCAATGCTTTGCGCATTTAAAATGGGAAGCACTTTTTTAATCATTTTTGCGCGTAACCCAACAAATCGAAGGTATTCCACCAAAGTGGAGTTCTGGATTGCACGTCTAACTGAGGATGTTGTTAATTGCCTACCTCGACCTTGCCTGGTGTGAATCGAGTATTCTGAGGAACCAACAAATGGAACCAAAAAAAATATATTAATATCATGTCCAGACGTTTGAAAACAAAAAAAAACTGTACCTGGAGCCGCAGGATATGATTGACTAGATTGTGCGATGATGGAACTGTCTTTGCTGGTGATTTTGATAGGGTGACCAGGGTGACCCCGCATGGCCTCGGCACGAGGACATAACCGGATAGGAGCTCTTTGTGAGCTTTCATAACACCGAAAGTCAGCAACCTTCACCCTATTAATTTTTCACCAGCGACTTAGCAAGCACACCTTCCGCGCGCGGTGGTCTCTGGAATTTCGAAATTCGATTTGATATCGGGCGCTTGGGCATCCCCAGCAGGACGATCATTATTCGGAACTTGGTGTACAGGAGGCAAACCAGGGTCAGTCGCAGCACGGCGGCTATTTATTATAAGGTTCAAGTTATAAACTTCAATCAGCTTTGAACCTTATCACACAAGATCGGCGGTGATCAACCACAAAGACTAAAAATACCCACATCCTTTCCAATTTGGCAGTGGAGGCGGTGTTCGCGATGTTGGGCATTCTGCAATGGGATTGAAGTTTGCGACACTTTTTGGGAGTCAGTCGTCAGGTAAAAGGCCAAACGGAAGAACACGAGCAACAAGCAAAGGCCAAAGAGTCCCACAATAGCCGCAGTGCCACCAAATCGAACCTCACCATCCACAGCCGTGAACCGTGGGAGTTGTGATTGCGCAGCAATAGTTTTGTTTGACGTGATTAGGTCTACCAATCGCCATCCATCCCACCAGAATGGGATGAAGGCAAGAGGTAAGAGGACGGTCTGATCAGAACAGACATCACACTTGTTGTCCATCACGGAGCTCCACTTCGTACTCCTCATTATTTGCAAAAAACCCAGTGTTTGCAAGCGAATTTCCCTTTTTTTTTCCTTTTCTTGTTATCTTTTCCAGTCCAACTCTGACTCAAACTTTAACTCTGAAACGTTATTTGTTGCAATCAACTAGAGCACACGAGATAGATTTTGGAAAGGGTGAAATAAGCATTTCATATAAAATAACAAAATAGTGAAAGATAGATAAAGCTTACCTAGAGCGCACGAGATAGATTTTGGAAAGGGTGAAGAAAAAGAACCCTTTCCTCTCGTGGCTCTAGGAGTCTTATATATCTACATATTACAAGTATTCATACGTAACAAATATGTAAAGCAAGTAGACAGCGAGACGTAACATTTTATGTAAGATGAGCTAGAGAAGGATGAAAAGCACACACTCGAAGATTACATGTCAACGGAATCAGAGGACTTTCTCATGATGTCAATTGATGATTCCAACATTATTTTAGATCTTCAAACTACCATCACCAATCACATCAAACCAGTATGACTCCAGCACTGTCCCGCAGTTTGGGTCAGTCTTATCTCTTTCTCTCTCTCTTCATTGACTCCGCCGTGTCTCATTTATTTATAAAACCTTATCTCATTCTGCAGCTGCAAGCGTTAACGCAAGAAGCACGCCGGAAACAATTACCCCGCGCAGATCCCCTTTAATGTCACTTTCCCTCGGGAGTTTCAATAACCATAATGGGTTATGGAACCATGGTGACGGTGGGAGCCCAACTCCTGACGCTTTCACCACAGACTGTGTCCAAAATGAGCAATCCCGCTCCCCAAAGGCGCCAAGAGTGGGAACTTCGGCCAGCGCTTCGGACCGGCTTGCCCTTCGGAACGGCCCTTCAACTCCAATTGAGGTCAACGCCAACAGCATGACCGGGGTCAAGTATCAACGCTCTCTTGGACCAGTTGATCTAGCGGTTTGGGATGCCATGGCAATTGACGCTGGCTTAGACCGCGACCATAGGAAATGGGGGCGGACCCAAGCTGAAGTAAGTTTCACGATTTTAAATATCACGGTTTCTATTTGTAAAAAGTAAGTTGACACTTTTTTATCTTATCCCTCCCTCAGGTCATTGGAGAGCACCATCGATATATGGTGCAGGCCTCGGTTCAAGCTCGTATTGTGTATGATCTCACAAGCATGCAAGAGAAGATGCACACGATTTTCGAAAGCCTAGAACGTCTGACCAGCCGCCTCGAGTCCCACATGGAAGCTAACATAGACTCTGCTATGGCGCCTGACTCAATTTTGAGCCACATCGATGTCATGTCTGACCGCATTGCGCGACTCAGCCGTCACATCGAGGACAACCCAGCTCCGGCTACTCAAGCGGTGGTTCATGCTGACCCAATGCCAAGGGTTGGACCATGGGCGCCATCCACGCACCTACAAGTATGTTGTAGTTTCCCTTTCTTCAGATTGACACTGATATATTGACCGTCATTTATTAGGATTTTTTCAAACCGCTGGTACGGAGATTGCTCACCCAACCCACGATTCAAGCGTACACCACAATGTTTGATGGCAAAGGAATATGGATCGTGAACTCTTTGTTCAACAATGTCAAGGTAAGATATTGGTTGAAAGATCTTTCATTTTTCAGACCCCGACTTATCATATGGGACTCTTCAGCAAACTGTGAACCGACAAGGGCCAGCATGGACGACCAAACATCTTCCTGCCAACATTCATGGTGTCAGCGACGTGGCAGGGACTAAGTTATATCACACTACCATCAAAAATGCATGCAAGCATGGTCGTGCAAAGTTGCACAACTTGGTGAGTATTGTATTCAACAATTGTCATGACACCATGCCTCCCTCTGCTTGTGTTGTGCTGATGTCTTTCCCTGAGCTCTTATCAGGGATCTGGGAGGTTAAAACCGGCGAAGTGTCTGATACCCCCGTTCCAACCCTCAAGGAACTTATCTATAAAGTGAGTAAATGCCTGACTACAAAACCCACAAGTCACCGAATTTCCTCACACTTATCTTACCTTCTCTTTCTACCAGATTGCACTCAAGTTTGGCACGTTAGGTGATCACACTGACCCTCAATCGTTGTGGAATGTAACCAGCGATCCGACTCGGGCTCGCATTGCATACCTTGTAAGTGGCTAGTGATTTGATTCTATCTCGTCAGCCTAACCATTCCTCATGTGTGATTTGGATTTGGCTTCTAGCGACGAGAAGCAGCAAAGATTTACCAACATGGTGGGAGACGCGGTGCTTCGATTTGGGCCTGTGTTGATCGCCAGCTTGACAGACTTGCAGGATCACAACCTGATTATACTGTTGCGTGAGTACCTTCTTCCGGCTGAGCTGAGATTTGGATATTTATTCCCATCTACCACATTTGAAGGTTTTACAACATCGTCTATACGGACGATCGGAACGTATTCAATGGCAAGACCTTCAACACACTATTTCATTCGGTTTGCCTGATGAAGAAGCCATCCAGGCTGGTATGCATCAAGTCAATGTCAATAATGACGCCCAAACCGACAAAAATATGGAAGCCAGTGAATGAAATGGAATGGCTCTAACCCCGCCTCTGCGGATGACCCCCCTTGTTTAATCCCCCCCTAAAACTATGAAATCCCTTTTCCTTTGTCTCTTTTGTTCCTTGTTCCCATCAACGGAAATTATTAAAATTATTCATAATTTTGCAATTCACGTCATGATGTTGTTCAACCCATATTTGCAAAAGCCAAATGAGAGGGACGCACGCCACTGCAATGACGGGGAGACCATCCTACCGGTGAGAAGCACTGCTCACCCTAAAAAACCCAAGCGAAAAACCCCATAAGCCCGTCAGAAATGCCCCGGCCCCGTGATGGGTCCACAAATTGTAAAGCCCGACCTAAAATCTCGGCCCGTTCGTTGCGGATGGTTGACCACTCTGACCGCCATTAGGCCGCAATTGCGCAGCCTGATGGCAGCCAGACGCTGGGTTTGTGGCACGCCTCTTTTCGATCCCACAGCGGTCGGCCGAGAGGGCTGTCCTCGGGCCGCCCATCACTCCGCATAGAAAGACCGTCTTCAGGCGGCCCAGCCAGGCCGTCCGTGGACGGTCTAAACCCTCCCGTGGTGTACACTTTAGAGCCACCGTAGATTTGTCCGTCCACGGCCACCGTACAAATTATTCGTAATTGAAGGACAGAAATCCCGCGGTGCGCCCCGTCTCTTTTCATTTCTCACAACACTCCAGTATCGGACTCTTGAAAGTTCTCACAAAACGTTCTGGTGGAATAAATCCAGGCCAAAGATTGGAAGCGATTTCACGCCGATCTGCTCGAGTTTTGCGGGCGAAAAGGCCCAAGCTTGCTGAAATCGACCATGATACGTCAAACTTCCAGTGGTGTAATGGTCATGCTCTTTGCGGAACAAGCTTTGTACAAGTTCTTTGACCACTTGATTCTTGCGTTCAAAAGTATGTAAATGGAATTTGATGTTGAATCTCGCGGTCAAAAGTAGATGATAGATGTTGAGTCTTGCAGAGTCTTGCGGTCAAGAGTAGATGACATTTAACACGGACTCTGAATTTCCCCGATGACTGGAGGTTGAGTCTTGCGGTCAAAAGCAGCTGACGGTCGATGACATTACCAACTTTTGGGCTGGACAGATATCTACAAAAGACAAAAAGGAGGAAAAGGAGAAGTGTTCAGGGGTATGTAAACAATCCATCCCACAAAGCTTGACGAGTCAACTTCCGAGCCGAATCATTTGAATCTTGCTCGCAAACCTCGGTCCACCTTTTGGAAATCGACTGTAAGTAACGACAATTGCGTAAAGCGTCGACCAAATCCGCATCAATTTGGCGGGTTGGAAATCGGCCGGCAGATGTCTTGCCAAGCTGGGCGAGGGTTGCCATTGAGCTCAGTATTTCCCTCGGCTGGACAGCTGTAATTTTTTTCAGGTGACAGCGCCCTGCAACGCACAACTGAACTTCTTTCCCAATTCCTCATAGGGTTCATTTGAGGTTGAACCCCCGTCACCATATGTCTTCATCTACGTAATTGGTCGATCGCACCTATCGCGTTCCACACAATACATGTGATCGATTGCGCTCACCTCACGTAAAGAAAGAGAAAGGTAGTCCACGGATGTATGAATTTCTTTATTTTTGGCCCAATAGTCGTTGGGATACTGGGATTCAGATTATTCGGCCAGGTCAGCAAATTTGCTGACCTGAGCCTGGGAACGTGTCATTTCCGAAAAAACGAGTTCACACGGGAGGTTCCATGTGGGAACACGACCTCGGCGTTGGATGAGGTTTGTCTGAATAACTCCAATACAGGTTACGTTTCTGACAGAAACGTAACATTTAGTCATTCAGATTCGGGAGCATTGGAGATGCTCTTAGTCATGTTTGATGACATCATGTAATATGGACGTTGATGAAGCTTTCGACCAAGACTTTATGCCGGCCGATACACATTCACAGCAAATTGATTGGCAATGTGCTTTAAGCTTTACGTAAGTAATTGTCGCCAGTTTACTTATAAACACTTCTCCTTCTTGCCGTTTTGTCTTCTGTAGATATAAATCCTAAATCTGTCCATACCAAATCATAATCGTACATATTCAAACCCCAGCTAACGACCTCTTACGACCTTTTACGAACTACATCATGAAGTTAATGATAATGGATCAGATCGGCTTATCATCATTGATGCCGAATCTTAACGTTTACAGTTTTCTGGATCAGTTGATAATCTTGATCTTATCAGTTTACTTGATCAATCAGATCAGATGGAAAGTTAAAGAATACTCAAATAAATCAAAAGCAAAATCATTAAATAGTAAAATAGCACCTTTAGTGACCTGTACATTGCCATTCGATTTGAAATTCTTATATCATAAAATCAATTCACTTTTAAAAGGTGATCCATCAAGTTCATTAGATTACCTTAATCCCTATTCAAAGCTAACTAAAGCTATCAGAATTAATGTCTTTGGAACCGAAATCATTCAAACCTTTTCACATTTGGATGTTAAATATATTTTATCTAACAATTTTCAAAATTGGGGTAAATCTGATAGTTTCATAGAGGCTTTTTATCCATTGTTAGGTGATGGTATCTTTAATTCTGATCAAAGATCACTTTGGTCTTGGCATAGAACCTTAAGTAGACCTCATTTTTCGAAACAAAGAAATTCTGATGCGGATGCTTGTGAAGAACATGTCTCTAGATTGATAAGTTGGATTGAATTTCAAAATATGTCTGATCATCCTGTTGATATTCAAGATCGTACGATTCGATTTCACTTGTCTGATTCTTCTCGTGACTATCGATGGATTTGTGATTTACTGTTTTGTTTTTGTTGGGTTTTGTAGTCTTTTCACGTTTAACCCTTACTGTTGCTACCCAACATTTCTTTGGGTATTGTTTGGATATGCTCAATGATCTCTTACTTGATAGACCTATACAAGAAGGTGCTATAGATGCAACAGCTTTCTCCGCCGACTTTGCTGACGCTCAACTACATTGTTTATCATATGTCTTTATACCATGTAAGCACCTCGTTTCGATCTTATAAAGTATGCTTTCAACTTTAATCAATACCTCTCTTTCTCCATTCCCCTAGCTTTCATCGTCAGATTTTTTCAAAAATTTGCACCCGATTCATCAACTCAAAGAGTCTTAGCAACCGTAGATGTGTTGATAGAGAATGTAGCCAAAGAGCGTAGTTTATCAGACGATCAACAAGAACCTGAAACCCTACTCGATGGCATACGTCGATCAGGTTGCTCAAATCACCTTCTTCGTCATGAACTTCTCAATATCCTAATTGCCGGAAGAGATTCACTTTCTTCTGCACTTACTAGTTGTTTTTATGAATTAGCTGGCCGCGATGAGCTTTGGCATCGACTTCAATTAGAATCTGGCCATCTTGCTCAAATTTCTAAAATTTCTATTGATCAAATCCATCAATGTAAATTACTTAGGGCAGTGATTAATGAAACTCTAAGGTTTGTGGTTCCAGTTCTTCCAATCTTTTACATCTGTTCCTTATCAACATCATTGATGCGTTTTCTGTGGTTTTCAGACTTCATCCACCTGTTTGGTGTAACCTACGCGGTGCATTCGAAGACGATGTATTACCATCGGGTATATTTGTTCCAGCTGGGTCAGTCTTGATCGCAACTTTACTTATTCCACATTTTAACTTCATCTTTATATCTTTTGAAATCGACTTTTTCTGATCAACTGCTTACTCAAACATCTAGAACCGATTGTCGATTTAGTATCAAAGACCTACATCGAGATCCAGAAGTATGGGGTATGGTCAGTAATAAAAATAGATCATCTTGATACATTTGTGAAACCGATGAAGCTTGGATTTGATATTTTTTTCAAATCCGCATAGGATGCAGAAGAATTCATACCGGATCGTTGGTTAGATGGTAGACAAGTCTTACAAAGCAAAGATCCATTTAGTTTCCAACCATTTAGTGCAGGTCCAAGACTTTGTCTTGGTCAACAATTTGGTAAGTTTTTTTTCCTTGCTTTAAAATGAAAAGAAAACCCCTTTCTCTCAAAAGTTAAACTCACCTGGAACGTTTTTTTTCTCGTAAGCTTATACTCAAATTTCTATCGCATTGATTAGATTAATCAATCGATTCTCTAGAGTTGAGTTAGCAGGTAAATCAGCCATTAAGGAAAATATTAAGGAAGTCCACTCTGTGACTTTGAGCTTTCAAGATGGATTATGGGTCAAGTTTCACAAATAAACGATCAAAAACAAACCAGATTTGATTGTTTTGATAAACGTTTTTTCCTGATTTTAATTCGTTCAAACATTTTTTTCTCTTTTTTTACTCAAGTGAGGATTTTGTTTATTCAATCAAGACTTTAGTAGTAAAAGATCATGTTCTTTACCCCTTTTTTTCTTGGATTTCTTGTCCATCTGTGTAATTTGATCATCTCAGCGACCAGGTTGCAATATTTTATATACCAAACTTCGTTCCTTTAGGCCGGGAAAGCCGTATTATACAAGATTTCCAATCATATTTTGATGATGTCTTACAATTACAAAAATGAAAGACGATTTCATTCTTTCAATCTTCGTCGAAGATTGTGCCATAACCGCTACTGGCATTCAGTTGCGCGCCCTTTACCCAGCATCATAATAACGTCATATGGAGCTACCTACCTGTGTCTCCACTGACAAAACTTCGAAAACTAGAGAGGCCTCATCAACTTGGCATTGGATTCCATACCAGAAACACGATGATCTTGAAGGGAGTAGAGTGTTGCCCACTTCTACCCTGACCGCCGCAGAAGCCAAGATCCTTGATGCAGTGATCTAAAAAGCTTGAATTCCATCCCTCATCGAGAACCTTACCCTGTTCTCATGTCGCCTTGACTAAGCCGTCATCGGAGTGAGACTTGAGCGAGGCGCAAGACTGACTGGAATGACCTTTGCGGTTAGGTGAGAAAAGATAGCAATCATATAAAGATCGAGTTAGATCCAGTTTTCAAACTTTTCTAATCATCCTAAATCATTTGATTAATTCATCTTTGTATATACTTCTCGCTCGATCGATTCAGCCATTTAGTCTTTTGTCCTTTTTACCTTGTCACATACGTATATTTGTTCTTTTATCGATCTTCCCTTTAATACTTCATTTCTAACCAACAGCTCTTATCCTTCCAAGTCTACCCGACCTCATCAAAATATCAATCATGCGTTTCTTCATTGGCCTTAACTTTGTACTTGTGGCCGCCTGTCTGGCCCGATCCCAGGCACAAGATGCTTTGAAACTGAACCCTCGTGGAGAAATCCAAGCTCGCGCCGACGCTCCTCCAACCACTCCAGCAAAATCAACCGATACCCCCGCAAAGCCAACCACTCCAGCAAAATCGACCGATACCCCCGCAAAACCAACCACTGGACCTAATACATCTCAATTACCAGCTAGCAAAGATTCCAAATTATGCGCTATGATTGTGAAGCAAATGAAGGAATCTGAAGCCAAGAACAAGAATGCCGGTCAGCCTGCACCCAAGACAGGAGCAACAACAACCCCCTCTGGTACATCTCCGAGTCCTAAACCTTCAGCTTCTGGAGTCGCGCGTCGCTCAAAGCTCACAAAAAGAGCTGATATTCGGTAAGCTCTCTGAAAAAAATCAATGTCTTATCCATCTCGAGACTGACGAAATCCTTCTTTAGCAACTTAAACCGCCGTGAGGCAGCGAGCACCAAGGACGCACCAGCTTCAACCTCTACAGATTCCAATTCATGCAAAGAAATGGAAACCATGATCAAGGCCGCAAGAGCAAAGATGCAAGCAGACTTGAAACAGGCAATGCCAGCACCCAAGCAAGACGGTGCCAAGAAAGAATCTACGCCCAAATCAAGTTCTACTGATCCTACCCCCAAGACGAGCCCTACTGATGGCAAACCCAAGACAAGCCCGACTGATGCTAAACCTAAAACAGGACCTACTGACTCACTCCCCAAAACTGGCTCTACTGATCCTACCCCCAAGACGAGCGCTACTGATGGCAAACCCAAGACGAGCCCTACGGATGCTAAACCTAAAACAGGACCTACTGACTCACTCCCCAAAACTGGCTCTACTGATCCTACCCCCAAGACGAGCCCGACTGATGGCAAACCCAAAACAGGCCCTACTGACTCACTCCCCAAAACTGGCTCTACTGATCCTACCCCCAAAACTGGCTCTACTGATCCTACCCCCAAGACGAGCCCGACTGATGGCAAACCCAAAACAGGACCTACTGACTCACTCCCCAAAACTGGCTCTACTGATCCTACCCCCAAGACGAGCCCGACTGATGCTAAACCTAAAACAGGACCTACCGACTCACTCCCCAAAACTGGCTCTACTGATCCTACCCCCAAGACAAGCCCTACTGACGCAAAACCCGACAAAAGCGCTCCTGATGCTAAACCCAAAACAGGACCTACTGACCCACTTCCCAAAACTGGATCCACTGATGCTAAACCAAGCAAAAGCTCAACTGATACTAAACCCACTACAGGAACTACTGATGCTATCCCAAAAACTGGCTCCACTGATGCTTAATCACAATATACTCTTTCTTTTACTTTGAGACCAAGTCTTTTCAAAAATACTATTCTTTTGTAACCCTGATATGTACAACAATCAAGACCTTAATCTTTCAAAATCTTATTTGTATCATTTTCACCACTCGACAGTAGTCTAATCTGTAGTGATGTAATGGTTCTATAGAATTTAATGTTTTGTGAGATCATAGCATTGTGATTTAGGTATATTGTTTGATTTAATTACATCAGCTTAAGTTTTTGATCATACCTGGTGCTTGAACCATCAGTTTTAAAGAGATTTAATCTTGGATTCTGAGCTAAAGCTTTACCTAGAAATGATTGTTAAGTTTCTTGAGAGCTTTTGATATCAAGTACATCCTCTTGGAAAAGGCAATTATATTCTGATCAATGTCTATGTTGGTTTGGTATTCGAGTTGTTGAGTTTAATGCTGTTTAATGAATCTTGGCACCTACTGGGGTCCTGTCTGGCCCTTGAGAGTGAGGGTGACGTAGGACGTATCTTTTCGTATATGTAAAGGGTTACATGTATGGGATTCAGTATGGGCATGCCGCATTAGGCATGGGTTTAGACAGACTGCACTATACCTTTCACTCTGATGTCCAGCTCCAGATCATGGTCCTACTCATCATTCTTTCGAGAGCCATTCTTGGAGTTTTCTGGAGTTACATAGCTCGAAATCTAAACAAAAGTCACTTTATCAAGTCCGTCTCGTCATCGTGTTCTCGAAGTGTCACCTCGGAGGATTTGCTTACTTCAGTGAAGGTTTCAATGAGAACCTTACACTTTTCACCGTGTTTGCTCGCACAAAATTCAGTACATTTTTTTTTATTTCATTGCTTAGAGTGCCTCCTGAGCCGTAGGCTATCAGGCACTTAACTACTTGTGCTCCGCTCCAGTAAAAACCCCAGTGGGGAAAAGGTCACGTGCTGGCTGTTTGAATAGTTACAAGTGTTATTGAAGAATTACCCCAAGCCTGCGACGGTAATACTTAGTCCAATACCGAAGGGGAGAGACATACAAGTGAGGAGAGAAATCTGGCCCTGTGGTTCGGGGCCGAAATTCAGGGCCACAACAGATTGTGGCGCTCTTAGGAAGGAGAAAAGTTTTCCTCTCTCCTAGAATTTCTCCCCTGATTCTCTCTCCCTCAACTTGGTTCTCTCGTTATTTTCTCATCTTCCTTCTACAGCATTCAGCGTTTGGAAAATAAAATTTTTAGTTTATACACATTCTTATATTAACACTCCCATATCCAAAGGCAAACTATTATCGTGACTGAAGGAAGAAAGAAAGTAGTAGAAATTTTTCCATCCTGAGAAATTAAGTAGCTACATCACATTTCACAAAACTTTCACCATATACTATTTCGCCATATACTATTCCGGTTTTTAATTCTGTTGTGGATGAACAAGGAGCAGAAAGACAAGTTGTTATTTAACAAGGCTCGTCTTCAAGAAATGGCATCGATGTCGAAATCAGTGGAAGAGAAGAAGCTAGCTCAGGCAGAAGAGAGGAGGAGGAGAGCCGAATCAAGGGTTCTGAAAGAGGGTGAAGGGAACGTAGACACGAACCTAACACAGGACCCGAGTCGATTAGCTGGAGAAGAAGATCTGGTGGGTAGTCATCAGGCGACACACGGAGTAGGATCTAAGTCTGGTGTGATTCAAGAGTCCTTAGCTGAGGAGGAAGAAGATAGCCTGGATTCGAGCTCGGATTTGGAGTCGGATACTAGAGATGTGAAACCGCTAGAACTGAAGAGGAGAGAATTAGAGAAGTTGGAGGCGAGACGAGAAGCAGAGAAACGTCAACAACACCTGAAGCGCTCCGCTGCGCACCGCTTTTGGCCGGTTTTTTTGCAGCGGGACGCTGTCCCGCTACATGTTGAACCCGCCGTCGCCCCGCTGCATGTTCAGACCCGATACATGACTGGCAAAGCGGTGCGCTTGTTGGACTCGCTCTCGCCCCGCTTTGATCTTTTTGAAGCCAAGCAAGCGGGCCGAGGCGAAGGGTACAGCGGTTTGAAGAAACCTTGTCCTGCATTTTTTGTTGAGTTGGGGGGCCAATCTTGGTGGTCAAGATAATCCAAAGGGTTACTCAGCACCACACAGTGAATCAAGGACACTTGTGAGTTCAAATCTGATTCACAGCCGTCTGATCAAGACTCTTAACATCTGATTGTTCTAGTCTGATGACAAATTGAGGTTCTTTGCTAAGGCTGTACAGATAAGCATTTGAACTATTTCTACATCCACTTCGATCGATCATGGTAAAAAGATCAGTTGCATATGTATCATTGCTTATAGAAACTTGTTTGTCTTTACTAAGTCCAAAAATTGGCTCAAATTAGTTCAGTATTGGTATTTCTTTGCTAAAGTAAGATGGTACACAAATTGTTTGAACAAGCAAGCTGTCTACAAGTGAGGTGTTTATTGATGATTTGAACTCTTTAAGATCAAGAATCAGATTTATTGATGTGCTTTTCCAGAAGAACTTCTTGAGAAGCTAAACTAAGATGCTACAAAAAAATGGTCAAACAAGGTTTCCTCCAAGTGACCTGCTTATTGAGAACTTGAAGTCTTCAAGATTGGGAATGATATTTCTTGAAATTGATTGTTTGATTTTGATGACATTTCTTGATTTGCATTTCTGTGAGTAAGAGGTTGGTATTCAGTAGATTGGTTTGTTGGAGTGAACCAATGATGATGAGATTGATCGATTTTTCGACTTTAATTGATCACTTGATTTTGAATGCTTCATATGTTACTCTGAAAGGTATGATGCGATGACCGGAGGGATTTCAGGAAAGGATTGGGGTGGATTGGGTTAGTTTGGCCTCTGAAGAGAAGATCAAGGGTTGAAAAGAACTTACCAGATATGATTTAGGTCATCAAAAAGTGCTGGGGCATTGATAATTGTTTTTTGTCAAGGACTTGGCTTGTTGAAAAATGGAGGTTATGGTACGTTGCAGAGGTAGGAAGGGTATTTGCTGTACTTGTTTTTGTCTGATGTATCCATGTTGGTTCGCAGGTGTCCAATCTCGATATGAGAGCTCTATGAGAGTGTTGGCTGTCAATACTTGCAAAATCCGCTACATGCCGCTCTGAGTAAGGGCTGCGGGGCGTAAATGTAAATCGCCCCGCCAATTTAACAACCCGCTACAACCTCAATGTTAGGGGTTGAGCGATGGCGGGACGCTTTGAGCCGCTACAAAAAAATCCCTGAGCGATAGCGGGGCGACCCGCCCCGCCAGCGCCCCGCTGCCGCTTTTTGCAGCGGATTGCTTCAGGTGTTGACGTCAACAGGAAGAGTTGAAGAAGTCTAAGGTTTACAAAGGTGTACCTATTGATGGTGTGTAGCGAAATTTCTTTGAATATTTCTTTCCTTTCTGCGTAATATCTCGCATTGTGGGAGATCTAGAGGATCAGGAGCTGCCGTAGGCGCCCTTTAAAAAAGATGAGGTGACAGGATGCAGGCTGCGAGAGCGCCGTAAGACTCACTGGTCAGGAGGGAGAGTTCGTGATTGGTGCTGCCATGTGCGCCCATGGAACATCCTGGAGGTGGTAGAGTTCTGTAGACCTACGAATACACCATGTCAAAATCTTACCTAGAAGGTTAAAGAAGCTGCCGTAGGCGCTAGACTCTCACGGAGCGATCTAGGATTAGATTTGAGGAGAGAGGATTCAGGTGCTTACGTGATTGTTCCTCTTGTTTGTTTTTGTTTCCGTCCGCCCAATAGCATTTCGGGAGTCAAAAGGTGCAGATTCTCGTAGCAGAGCGCTCTTGGAAGCCTTGACACATGCGTTAGACACCAACAACGGAGCTGAGGCCAGGAGACTAGTTGCGGACTTCAATGATTCGTATGGATCGCTAGTGGCGATGGATTACGATGGTTATATACCTCCGGATCCTAAAGAATCGGCCAATAGTCAGCCGAATCTTCAGGCCCAAGAAAGTCAGAAGAGTGCAACTCAGGACCTTGCACAACAGAAGCCCATGAGTTCGAGGTTGATGGACTCTAGTCAACTACTAGCGTCGATCTCCGGGTCGTTACTTTTAACGGCCAAGAACCTCAATCGATTGGTGCTCGGTCAGGCGGAAATCCTCCTGTTGAGGTGAAGTCGGCTCCGGAAATCGTAACCCAGGTGAAAAAGAGCGCAAAGAAGCGAAAAGGGAAGAAGCGAGCTGAGCGAGTCGAGGCACCATCTTCGTCCTCTGACGAGTCTGAAGGACAGAAGTCGAAAAAGAAGAAGGAAGAGGATCCGTCTTCTTCAGATGAATCGGATGACTCGAAGCCGAAGAAGAAAAAGAGGAAGAGGAAATCTTCATCGAAGAAGAAGAAACAGGTAGACTCAGAACCTTCTGATTCTTCTGACTCTTCCTCAAGTAACTCCTCATCAGACGAGGATAGCTCAGACAATTCCTCAGAGGTTGAAAAAGCTGAACTTGGCTATGATTTCACGGAATTTGACTTGGCAGACTTACCAGACTTACCGGATAAGTGGGATAAAGGTTTTTGGAAACTACAAGCTTATGTACCGGTAACTCTATTCAACATAGCTCTGTTAGAATCTTATCACGATGAAGACTTAGAGCTGAAAGACCAGAAAGCGAAAAGCAAGTTGAATGTCTCCAAGACCTCTTTGAAATTACTAGAGAAACAACTGACCTATGGAGATTTCATTGAGATGTGCGACCTCGAGGAGAGATACGCAAGGGAGATTTATGGCCTAGATACTTATGCGGATTACGTTGTGAAACATAAGAAAATTGTTTCGGATCTGAAGAAGTCGTACAACTGCTGGATGATTGGCTTGAGATACCACTTGAAGGTGCGGACGGTGATTTTCAGGCGACAAAAGTTAGTGAAGTCCAAAGTAAAGGGGAAAACGGTCCTGAAAGACATAGTGAAGATCCCGAATGGTGTCCAAGCAAGGGTAGTTGAGAAGGCAAGATTTGCAGCGGATAGAGCAGGCGACCTACAATACGTAGACAACCCATATGCTCCTGGAGGTCCGAAATTTGGCTTCGACTTTTCGACTGGGAGACAACCAGCTGGAGTTTCTGTCGTTTCGGCTGTAGAAAGAACAGCGGAAGTTAACACAAACCCTAATAGAGGGAAGCGTGGCGGTGGGGTTAGGAAGTCCTATCAGAAGAGAAATACCTACCAGGGTAACTTTCAGTACAACAGAGGCAACAAGTCCGCCCACGAGAACCAAACCGGTTAGTGTTTGATAATCGCTTGAGAGTGGTCGTAAAGAAGATCGTTGAAAGCTGACTTGTGTGTTGATACAGGAGACTCTGGACAGCCGTCGATTCAGACCCCGCAAAACTATACGGCGAAACCGTACTACCAGCATAAAGGTGCGAAACAAAACCAAGTGACCAGCGCGCAGAAAGCGCAACCGACAGAGGCACAGAATGCGTGAGCTAAATTCCTAGGCGCTTAGAGTTCTAGAAGTGAGACTGACAAGAAGTGTGTTGTCGTATGTTCTTCCGATCGGGGTCGGTCATCATTTCCCTTCTGTTTTATGCCTGTCAATGCCTTGGACTGCTTGGGTGAATTGTTGTGTGTTGCGCTTTGTATGTGGATGATCGTATGTGTTGTGGTACGCAGAAGCTTGTAACTCGCAGCGTCTAAGTAGGAAAAATATGAAATTCTGAACAAAAATTGGTTCCCATCTGTTACTATTTATTAGACGAGAGTAGTAGGCCTGCCAATAGACCCGCGGAGAGTGGTGTACTTCTTCACTCAAGAGAGGACACTTTGAGAGCGGTGAAACAACGTTTAGACGAGCTGGTGAGAGAAGAGTCAGATAGCTCTGAGTCGGACAATCATGATGAAGAACAAGTGACGAATAACAAGAAAGATCCGATCCCATTCTGGGAAAGGAAGATCTTCGCGGTCCCAGTGCAGAATGTTTGGCCAGGCCCAGTTACGTGTAAGATGGTCATCGAGGAGTGGGCTGAGCTGATGTTGGAAGCTGGTCTGGAGAAAGACATCCCGTATATCACGAATGGGTTTAAACAAGGATTTTGCCTGGGGATACCGCAACATCACATTGGAAATCTGTCCTGGTATACTCCGGAGAACCATAGGTCGGCATTGTTAGCGAGGAGCCAGATAGAGGCGACTATCGAGAAAGAACGGTTGGCAGGTAGAATGGCTGGCCCGTTTACCCACGAGGAGGTGTTTAGGAGGCTCGGTTTCTTCAGAACAAATCCGATGGGGAGCGCTGTAAATGGCGATGGATCTATCAGGATGGTGAATGACCTTTCCTTCCCAAAGAAGGACGACCACGTACCCTCAGTGAATTCATTCGTGAATAAGTTGAATTATGGAACGTATTGGGACGACTTTGATAAAGTGGCAATTTTCTTCCAAGAAAACCCTGGAGAATGGGAAATTGCCATCTTCGACTGGAGGAAGGTGTACCGTCAACTGCCAGTACATCCTAGTCAGCGGAGGTTTTTATGCATTCTGGACTTCTACGGAAGAGTGTGGGTCGACTTAGCTGTGGGGTTTGGTGGAGTAGCAAGCTGCGGGGTGTTTGGGGCCCCGGCACATGTCTGGAAGCTTTTAATAGAACGAATCTTGAACATACGGAAGATCTTCCGGTGGGTTGATGACAACTTAATTTTTCGGAGACCAGGCGACACAGCATCATTGGCAGACATAACGACACTAAGCAATAGCTTGGGTGTAGAGACGAATCCAGCGAAAAACCATGAATTCGCGACGGAACAAAGATACGTAGGGTTTATCTGGAACGCGAAAGATCACACTGTCAGGCTTCCGGAGGACAAGCTGAGAGAGAGGAAGCAGTTAATAGAGGACTTACTCAACTCAACATCCCCCTGGGCATTTCACACAATAGAGAGTCTACTAGGGAAGTTAGTTCATACGGTGTATATTGTCCCTCATATGAAGGCTTACATGCGCTCGTTCTACAAGTGGTTAAAGGAATGGGTTAATAAAGCAGCACTGAGACATGTGCCAGAGTACGTTAAGGTAGATCTCAAGGAGTGGAGAAGGTGCCTACACTCATTTGTTTCACGAGCCCTGATTCCTTTGCCGAAAGCGACGGAAATTGCTTGGGTGAGGGATGCGTCGTCGTCGTTCGGGATCGGCGTCCTGATAGGCGATCAATGGGCATGTTTCGAGTTTGAAAAAGGTTGGCAGACGCTGAACTTGACGGTCGGCAAGCGTTCGATTGCCTGGGCTGAATCGGTCGCGATAAGGCTAGGACTAGTCGTTTTAAGCACCTTGAGACATGTGGCAGGTGAGTACTCCCAGAAAAGTGACTGGTAGAAGACGTGAGACTGATAAGTTGTTTGGTCCTATAGGGAAAAAGTTTAATGTCTGGACGGATAATACTACATCCCAAGCCACCGTTAAAAAGCGCAAATCAAGAGATGAGTGGGTGAACGAGGAGTGGAAGAACATTCAAAGATTACTCACGAGTTTAGCTTGCAATATTGAAGCGAAACGTGTTGCGTCAAAAGGTAACGACGCGGACGCACTCTCAAGGGGCTGGCTGGGGAAGTTGCTCTGGTTCAACGAAGTGAGGGTAGAAGTACCTATCGACCTGCGCTTTGTACTCAAACAAGTGTTCCCTCCTAAAACCGGCTTCCCAGAAGACAAGAAATCGAATTAGCGGACAGGTAAGAGTTAAGAGGATCTCTGCTTGACACTAGTCCTGTTACTGACGGTTTAAAGTTGGGGCGACAATCCAGGCGAGAGAAGAGCGGCTTGGTAGAGGATGTCAGACGTGCAATTGTTGAAAAAGGCAACGAGACCTTTCGGAACCTTCAAGAAGAACGCCCTAGGTGTGGATATGTCGGATTCGGATGAGGTACAACAGCACTACTTGAGAGGGGCGTGGGGCGACGGGACTTTGAAGAGCTATAACTCGGGCGTGGTGAAGCTCCACAGATTCGCTCTACTAAAAGGGATCACGAAAAGTCAGCTTTTACCGATATCGTCTAAACTCATAAGGGAATTCGTAGTCTGGGGATCGAAAAAGAGTGAAAGGAAAGCAAAAGATGACGAGTCGGTGAAATACTCAACGATGAAAGCCTATATAGCCGGCATAAAGGCATGGCATCTCTTTCACAATGAAGATTATCCACATTGTGTAAATGAAGGAGTAAAGGCTTTACTGAAAGCATCGAGGATGACAGAAGCAAAGTTTCAATTGATAGAGAAGAAAAGACCTCCAGTGTTAATCTCGGACCTGGTAGTGCTGTTCGAGAGCCTGCCGGACCAGGGAGAACTTGGTTTAGCTAGACTAGTGGTGGCACTAGTGGCATTCTGGGGGACAGCGAGGTTGGGAGAACTGATTTTGGATGACGTAAAGAAGAAACTCCCATGCTGGGATGATGTCGAGTGGAATGAAGATTGGTCGAGGGTTACGATACGCATCTACAACGCAAAGACGGCAGGCCCCGGGGAAGTCCAACACATAGTTCTTCATCGTCAGGATTCGCTCCTAGACCCGGTCTCGATTCTAGAGGAGTGGCTGGCTTTCCGTCCGAGGAAACCAAGCGAAGAGATCTTCTCGGTGTTAGCTGGAGGCAAGCGGAGAAGGCTAGGTAAACAGGAGACTATCAAACACTTACGGTCTATCTGGAACTCGAGGCGTTCAAAGTCGAAGCAAATGCTCCATGGGCACTCATTCTGCATAGGCGGAGCATCGCTGCGCTGGAACTTGGGAGCAGACCGAGAAGAGGTGAAAAGGTGCGGTCGTTGGGCTTCTGATGCATATATCATTTACCTACGGAAGTTCTCAGATAAAGAATTAGTGAAAACCAAAAGATTACTACAAGACCTGCAGTGGAAATGAAATATCGGTTGCTGAAAGTATAGATAGTTGAGGTCTTGCTAATTCTCTGAGAGAATGCTGAGCGTGACGTTAAGGCTACGGTGATCCCGGTTGAGTATCAACAAGGCAACAAGCTGACCGGTAAGAGGCAGAAGATCAGCCTTTGAACTATAGTTGAGTCTGAGCACATGTAGGTGTATTGAGTAGATCACCAAATGAAACTTTAATTTCCAAGCATACATAGTTTGCTCACGGTGGCTACAGGAGTGGGGCTTCTCTAGGCTCACGGCTATAACCCCCATGAGTTAGGGGAAAGAGAAGCCCTCCTTTGGGGCTCTTTGTTATCACCCCGGAGGGTCGGGCATATCCCGGTGATAGACGTCTGTCACCGGTAGCCTGCCCCTTCGGGGCATACCCCCACACCACCAGTAGTAGATGATACTTTTGTATATGTTTATTAGTAGTGGTTACAAAGAGTTCTCCAAGAGGGTAGACCCTTCCTTGGTATGTGCTATCACCTGAGAGTTGATAGCTTGTAATCTGAGTCTTTTCGTACTCTCACCAGTCTCAACCCCTGAGAAGTAGTGGATTTGGGTACATGTGGTGGCGCTAAAGGATGGTGTTATGAGTTTTAGATGGAAGGATTTGGAATGTTTTGAGGAATGGCCTCGTCAGTAATGTTTGCCCATATCCAGCGATCTTTGAGCCTCCAGGTTGAGTTACAGAATTTGGCGACGTGTTCAAAAACCCTTGGGTCATTGAGGATGTCCGATGTTTCATTTAGTTGGAGTTCGTGAATAGCGTTTGTGAGCTTTGCGCGTTGTTTTACGTATCTGTGGCATATGAAGAGATAATGATCAATTGTTTCAATACCCTCTTGGCATTCGCACAAGGGGTCGAAACGTTGCTGATGTTTAAATAGATAGGAATTGAGATAGATATGATTTGATCTCAGCTGTGTGATGGTGGCGCATTTGTGTTTGTGAAGTTGGCTCAAAGCTTTGAGATGCTTCTTTGGCAATGGTCTGTGTCCCAAGCGTTTGATGTCTTGGGGGCTGAAATTGTTATCGTCTAGTTTGGACCAGGCCTTGATGGCAGTGATAAAACCTGCGAGAGATGGAGTAGACGTAAAAGTACTTGGCAAGTCCTTTTTTGCCAACCTGTTAGCTATCTTGTCAACGGTGTCATTCCCCTTTACCCCACAGTGACCCGGGCACCACCGAATTGTCACGTTCGTGTTAGTAACTCTGTCCAAGAACACCTTTCTTGGCATTTTGCTCTTTTTTCTTTTGAAAAGAATTGTGATCTTATATGTAGATAAGTATGTTTGTATGTACATATCACAGCATATACACAATGAAGATCGGAGCAATCACCTGGAATGACGTCATCGTATGCTGTGAAGAATGATCTTTGAGGTCTATGTATGTGCATCAAATTGTGAAATCATGATTGACGGATGTGAACTTAAAGATATCGAATGATAAGTTTGATTATGTAATCAGAAACCTCATCCAACCATGAATTCTTGATAAATAAAGTGACCATTCGAATTGATGATCTTAATATGAATCGATGATGATGATGATGATGATGTCTATTAACCAATTCTTATCGTTAAAGATGATGAATAGTCTTCTTAACCAATCCATAATCTTAATTCTATCAATTTATTTAATCATTGAAATTAAATCCAAATATAAAGAATATCAAAATCAAAAGAAAGCCAAATCATTGAATAGTAAACTAGCACCTTTAGTTACATCTTCTTTACCATTCGGTTTATCTTTCTTAAAACATAGACTTCATTCAATCAAAAATGGTAATCCATCAGATTCATTAGACCATCATCACTCCTTTACCAAAACCCAACCCATCAAAGTGATTAGATTTAAACTATTTTCATCACTTGAATTCATTCAAACTTATTCTCATTTAGATGTTAAATATATTTTATCTAACAATTTTCAAAATTGGGGTAAATCGAATCATTTTATGGAAGCTTTTAATCCTTTGTTAGGTGAAGGTGTCTTTTCCTCTGATCAAAGATCTCTTTGGTCTTGGCATAGATCATTAAGTAAACCTCATTTTTCGAAACAAAGGGTTTCGGATGTTAATGCTTGTGAAGAACATGTTGCTAGATTGATTACGTGGATCGAACTTCAGAATATGTCTGATCATCCTGTTGATGTTCAAGATCGTAAGTACCATCTCTTCACTCTTCAGTCCTCTTGACCACTGATCACTAATCATTCTCTTGGTTTGTTTTGTTGGTTTTTTAGTCTTTTCTCGTCTAACTCTCACTATTGGTTCTCAACATCTCTTTGGTCATTGTTTAGACATGCTCAATGATCTCTTACTCGATAGACCTATTCATGAAGGTACAATCGATGCCGCAGCTTTTTCCAAAGATTTTGCTGATGCTCAAACCCATTGTTTAAAACATGTCTTTATGCCTTGTGAGTGACTTGATAACCTATCTCAACGAATCATCTAAACTTTGCAACAATTCACTGATGTGATGTCTCATCCTTTTTTGAAAACTTGGGATCAAACTAGCATTCATAAGAAGATTGATTCAAAGATTCACCCCACCTAATCAATCTATCCAAAGAGTCTTAAAGGCCGTTGATATCCTCATCGAGAATTCAGCCAAAGCAAATCCCAATGGCAAAGACATCCAAGAACCCGAAAACTTATTAGATCATTTACGACAATCCGATTGTTCTCATGACCTTTTACGTCATGAGCTTTTAAACTTATTACTTGCAGCAAGAGATACGACTTCTTCTTTATTGACGAGTTGTCTTTATGAATTATCGGCTCATCCTTCTCTTTGGAATCAACTTCGAATCGAATCTAGTCAACTTTCTCAATCTCATTTGATTTCTATCGATCAACTTCGTGAATTGAAATTACTTAGAGCTGTCATTAATGAAACTCTTAGGTAGGTTTGTCTCTTGAATCACTTTTACTCTTGCATAGGCATTCTTGATTAGTTTTGATGCTCTTTTTTTTGAAGACTTCACCCTCCGGTTTGGGCTAATACACGTCATGCATTTGAAGATGATGTCTTACCATCTGGTATTTTCGTTCCAGCTGGGTTAGTCTCAATCATCATCTTTGAATACCTTGACTAGAATTGAAATCTTCTATTCAATCTTTGAATCTGTAGTACCGATTGTCGATATCTTATCCGAGAATTCCAACGAGATCCAGAAGTATGGGGAAAAGTAAGCTCAAGAAAAAGAATATAAAGCATTCATCAAGTTCAAACTTTTCAATAAACTTATATTGAGTCTTATGGGTTTTGAAAAATGTTGGTTGTATAGGATGCAGAAGAATTCGTACCGGAGCGTTGGTTAGATGGTAGACAAGTTTTACAAAGTAAAGATCCTTTTAGTTTTCAACCTTTTAGTGCAGGACCAAGAATTTGTCTTGGTCAACAATTTGGTAAGTGTCTCCCAAATGTTTCATCCAGAAGACAAAAACAATCTTTTTCTGAAAAAGTGGTCATCAAAGAAGTTGACTCGTCTTTTTTTGTATGATGAATTTTGGTTTCCATTTTTAGCTTATACAGAAGTTTCGATTACCTTGATTAGATTGATTAATAAGTTCTCTAGAGTTGAATTGGTAGGTAAATCAAGTAATCGAGCGGATTTTCAAGAAATGCCTTTGGTGACTTTAAGTGTTAGAGGAGGATTATGGGTTAAGTTTCATCCATGAAAATCACCTGATGAATCTTTAAACGAGACAAAGGTTTTTAATTCTTCAAGCACTTTTTCTTTTTTTGATTTTCTTTGTATAATAAATGGATCTTGATCACGCAGTCTCACTCATGAGAAGTTTGTTTGTTTAGTTCATGAATCGGTTGGAAAAGATTATGATGATGAGTTTTGTTTTTGACTGTATGATTGTGGTATGATTTGAGATTGTTGTGTTTGTATACTTGTATTCATGAAATGATTTATTTTGAATGGGAAAGTATATTGGGAGATTTCACTTATTCTATGATCAAGATTTTGATAAGAAAGGATGTCAACTTATGTTTTTTTTTGTTTGAGATTAGAGGAGTTGGGTTGGGTCGTTGATCACAGGATGGATGAAAGGGATTGGTCATTTCATCTGGTACTGAAACTCTTACACTTTGATTGTAGACTTTGATTTGATAAAGTTTGATTCTGAGAGTGAGCGTCTTATGAGATGTAGTGCGGGGGCTGGTGGGGCTGGTGGTAAACTACATTCTGCCTCGATTAGAAGTTTGCGATTTGTACACCACTCGAGTCTGGGCTTCATCTCAGGGTAGATTTCGATTGGAATTCGATTTCATCCATCATCCAACTCATTTCAACACTTGAAAAATGAAGAACATTCAAATCAACAACAACTTACGATCAAAGCTTTATCAACTTTCAAATTCATCACATTCAATCAGAACAACCATCTTCAAATCAAATCAATCTACTCATCACCCAATCAAACTAATAAGCTCATCAACAAATCCAAGACCGTGTAAGTCTTTAAACCACGCTTTAGAAAACAAAACCAAGAAATCTGATCGGATCATCATAACTTTCAGGTCTCTTACCACAATCTAATCATCTCAATTTACATTTCAAATCGATTGTCAATACTCGTTATTTCACTTGTGGATCTAAACCTTTGGCCAAATCTTATGAACCCAAAAGAGGTCCTTATAAATCAATCACTTTAGATGATATTAATCAGTTTAGAAAAATCTTGAATAGACCTGGAAGTGTTTTAAGTTCATTAGAAAGTAAGTTGATCTCAAATCCAATCCGAATTTTGATTTTTTCTTTGGTTTCTTAGATTCTTAATTTTGATTAATCTTTCTTTTCTTTTTTTTTTCGGTTTAGATGATCCGGATCGAATTCATCAATCTGATCTGGATGTGTTTAATCATGATTGGATGGGAAAGTATAAAGGACAATCTAAAGTAGTATTAAAACCTAAATCAACTGAAGAAGTTAGTAAAATAGTAGGATATTGTGTAAAGGTAAGATAAATCGGTTTTTTTTACTTTCAAATGCAATGATCTTTTTGATTTTCTTGTTTCAAGAGTTCTAACCCCATCTCGCTGTTTGGTTTTTGGTATTTGGCTTTTGGTCTTGGGTCTTCGGTAGGAACGTTTGGCTATTTGTCCTCAAGGTGGTAATACAGGTTTAGTAGGTGGATCGGTACCTGTTTTTGATGAAGTGATCTTATCTTTAAATGGTTTATCAAATATCAGATCATTTGATTCAACAAGTGGTTCGTCATTTCGTTATTTTCCCCCTTCCCACTTATGACTATCAAATCTTTCTTAACTCACTCTTATCCCAAAAATATCTCTTTTTTTCTTTTTTTGCTTTTTTCGAATCGGGTGAATAAGTCTTTTAGGTATCTTGACGGCAGATGCAGGTTGTATTCTTCAATCACTTGATGAGTTTGTAAAAGAAAAAGGGTATATTGTGCCACTAGATTTAGGAGCCAAAGGATCGTATGTATATTCTCAAATCTTTAGAATTCAACACATTCTTGAAAGATTTCATTCAATTTTTTTTGCGGTTTGATAAAATCAGATGTCAAATCGGTGGAAATGTGGCGACTAATGCTGGTGGATTAAGGTTACTTCGATACGGATCTCTACATGGGTCTGTGTTGGGACTAGAAGTCGTTTTGCCAGATGAGAATGGTACTGTACTGAGTAGTGGGATGAAGACTGGGTTAAGGAAAGATAATACAGGTAAGTGAGTGAGGTAGAAAGCAGACAACTTCGATCGTTTCTAGAGGTACTGATACACGATCCTATTTAGGTTATGATTTAAAACAATTGTTTATCGGATCAGAAGGAACTTTAGGGATCATTACAGGCGTATGTATCTTAACACCTAAAAGATCAAGTAGTATGAAAGTAGCTTTATTATCTGTATCAGATTACCAAACTATTCAAAAAGTTTATAATAAGACGAGAGAATCGTTGGGTGAAATTCTTTCGGCTTTTGAGTTCTTTGATCAAGATTGTTTTGAGTTGGTCATGGATCATACTAAGCAAAAGGATCCGTTTGAAGGAGGTGAAGTGGATGGGAAAAAGAATGGGTTTTATGTTTTGATTGAAACGAGTGGGAGTAATGAAGATCATGATGATCAGGTTAGTGAACTTGAAAGCTTTTTGAAGTCTTTGAAACCTATTTTTCTTGGATTTGAAAAAACCTTGAACTGATTCAAGTATTGATTTTGATATCTTGGTGGGGGGTTTTAGAAATTAAATGAACTACTTGAAAGTTTAATTGAAGATGAGATCATTAAGAATGGAGTCTTAGCACAAGATCAAACTCAATTTCAATCGATTTGGTCATTAAGAGAACAGATTCCAGAATCGATTGGTAAGTTTGGTAAGACTTATAAGTATGATGTGAGTTTACCTATTGGTAAGATGTATGAATTAGTTTTGAAAACTCGTAAAAGGTTTGATGAGAATGGATTGATGGGAAATGGAATGGGAGATGAAGCGATCGTTAAGGCTGTGGTTGGGTATGGTCATCTTGGAGATGGTAGGTTTGGAAATCTTTTTACTTCAAAAAACAAATAACTGAATTTCTTTTGGGGTTTGGGTTTTTTTTTGGATAGGTAATTTACATTTAAATATAGTGACCAAAGAATGGAATCCTCAAGTTGAAAGATTAATTGAACCATGGATTTATGAATGGATCTCGAATGAAAATGGATCGATCTCAGCCGAACATGGATTAGGTTTAATGAAATCACCTTACATTAAGTATTCTAAAGATTCGGTTCATTTGGATTTAATGAAATCTTTGAAAAACTTGTTGGATCCGGTTGGGATTTTGAATCCGAATAAATATTTTGTTTAGGTGTTTTAGTGATGATGGAATGATTGATTTGTTGATGATTGATTGATTGATTGGAATTTGATACTTTTGTTTGGGTTGAGTTTAGATTTGTGGGGGTTTTGAAATTTTTATTATATACTTGGTTATGAGAATGATGAGAAAAAAATTGGGTTTGATCAAATAGAAAGATTTGATTTGAATTGAATCGAATTCTCGGGGATTCTTTTTAAAAACAAGTTGTATATTTCTTGAAATACATCATAAATAAACTTGATATTTTTGTGATGATCAAATTTTACTTTCTTGAAATGTAAAATGATTTTCAAGATACAAAATATTAAATAAACAATTGGATTGTATGATGAACAGAAAAATAGATTTTATGTATGATATGTTTTGAAAAAAAAAATGAAAAGGGTTTCAGGTTTTTTTAGATTTCCGACGTTTAGTTTTGATGATTTTTTATTAGAATCGAAATGAAGAGATTCTTTTTGATGTAAAGAAGAAAATCTTTCAGTTGATTATCATATGATTCTTCTAGGTTATGGTTTTCAAGCTCTTTGAAACCCGTCCAGGATTTCCGGGCTCATGTGATTTCCTGGATCTTTTATTTTCGTCCCTGAATCTGAGGTCATCTTAAGGGAGAAGACTGAAGGATCAGAGATATCATTTCAGATGAAGAGCCACTGCCAGAGTTATAGGGGCGTGTCCATGTGGTTCTACCTCCGTCGGGGAAAGGAGTTCAAGTGTTTGCAGGAGTCTCTTCGATATCTTACAAAAAAAATCTGCCAGGCAGTGCACGCGCTCTTACCTGTGGGTTTCTGATATGCTTTGGATAATATACCACGTCCACCACTGATTTAGTCATTCTTGGATATATGCAGGATGTGGATCAGTTAATTCATACCACACCATGGGTGGTAAAGCTTAACAGCTAAGTACCTCTTCGCACGCGGCCACGTCCGCTCTCGGCCGCGTTCGCAGAGAGGCTTAGTTAAGCTGAATGGGTGGTACAAACTGGCGGTAAGTTTCGAGAGCGATTAAATCAAAGTGACCCCAAGATTTATCGTATGGCACTTTTAGTTTTACAGTGGAGATTGAAAATAAGTCATTTGTTGATCAGTAGTGGCTCTCAAGCCTGACCCAGTTTCAAAAAACCCGGTTGCTCCAGTGGAATAGTGAAGATATATTGTAAATTTACATCACGCTGCGGCTCAGCTTTGTTTCGCATGATTGATTTTACATCGTTCTCCAAATCTCTTGCTACAAAACTTCGGCAAACGCACTCGTTGAGGGGCTTTGATAAACTTGAATTCTCTTTGTTTCAAATTCCACAGAATTTATCTCCTATTTTCAACTCAAAATGTAACAGAAGATTGAATGAGCAGTCGAGAAGCTTCGATCAGTTACTTTGTGACGGCTTGTTCTCCGGACGATATCTGATTTGTTTCCTCAATATGTTTCAGGGTGATGGAATGAGGAAATGTTAAGATTAACTAAGCCCCTCTTCCGACGCGACCACGAGTTAAGTTTAACGAAATGTCAAGTTTGGGATCTGGAGATTCACTTCTTGAGATCTTTCCCCCCTTTTTTGAGGTGATGATGATCAGTGACAGAATCAAGTTTGAGGGAATTGTGGAGATGTGGTTGAGCTTTCAGTTTATATTCAATATTCGAACATGTCGTACATCTTCCATTGAAAAGGTCATCTGTTCTGTTTCCTTTGATTCTTTCAAGTAGATCGGTTTGATAAATATACAATTTTACTCTAATCAAAATGAGATCCTTTCAAGTAAATCTATCTTATCTTTTAATCTTGAGATTCACTATCTTGGCTTCGGTTCTAATGTTGATAAGTTTCAAACAATATCGACATCATTCTGCGCTCAATCAACAAAAGTTGACTTCATTTAATGCTTATGCATCAACGTTGATATCCAAAAATCGTATTAAAATTCGTAGAAGTTTTAGAAAATCAATCAATTTCTTATGTGGAAATGGAAACGATATCAAGGATATGTTAGGAGAAACAGATCAAAGTCAATTTCTCAAAGGACGTGAAGCAACTGAGACATCAAGTAAAAGAATTGATCAAGTTTCATTACAAAAAGATTCGAAAAGTTCATCAGATGGTAATGATAGAAGATTTGGAAAACCTCAATCAAAACCAAAATGTAAATTATCTATTGACTCGATTCTTTGTCTATCTTCAAAGGAATGAACTTTTCATTTTGATATTCTGTATAATCAGCATTCATCATAAACTGACTGGTTTCTGATTTATTTAGTTGTCCGCCATGGAAGTGATCCACTCAAAGGAATTGGAGGTTGGCAACTATTTGGCTTGGATTCTAAAAAGTTACCAAAACTAAAAAATCCACAAGGTAAATTCAGTTCTCTTCACATTGACGAAACAAGATATAAGTGTTAATCAAAAATTTCTATAATGATAGATCTAAGTAAAGATGAAGTAGGAGAAAGCTATAGAAATGAGTTTGTAACAACAGAAAAGAAAGAATCAGATCCCAAAAAGTCAAAAAAGAAATTTCGATTCAGTCTTAAAATTAAAAAACCTGATCAATCTAATGATGTTAAAAAATCAGATGCATCAACTACAAGTGAAGAACCCTTCAGCTTTGAATCTGATGCAGCTTCATTTTCTTTTGAGACTCCTCGACGTGTCGGTGACGGCATGTGAACAGAAGAAGTGATTTTGAAAGACCCTTACGTTTGGTTCAGATTCATTTGAAAAACTTTCGATGTCATTATTGGAAAAATACTTGCCAATAACTTGTATTGTACCTATCAGTATTACTATTAGCTAGCCCTTTCGACATTCAAGATGGTTTCTGGAAATGCCTGCTCTTTGAAACATACACTTCAACCTGATCCAAACTGCATTGATCACAAACCAAGCCCAGCCAAACTCAAGTCTTGGGCCTATATCCCTAATTCACTTTCTAACACTGATAAACATAACAGTACTCCACATACATACTGCAATCACTTAGGCAAACCAGCATTTGATATCATGGTTTGAATTGAAGGTGTTACACTCTACAATTTGAAGGAATGTCTTTTCAAACTTTTCAACAAAAAAACCAAGGGCTTACTCAGCTTATGTGGCGGGTGCGGCACATTTTTGATGCCTTTGTCCATGCCTGGCTTGGGCGCGCCTGGGCCTGTCATTTTTTCAAAATCAATGGGTATGTGTGCCCTATCTGAAACCTAGTTGAATGATACTTGCGCGCTCTTTTTTGGCTTGCTGCATCAACTAGGAATTGATGGGGGCACATCTATTGATTTCTCATATCCCAGATCTGTACAAATTCTTTTTGACAATTACAGGATACAAAGTACAAGTCCAGGCACATGCTCAGGTAGATGCCCAGAAGTCCAGATTTCATAACTTGGATTCTGGACCCCGGCCACGTCTGAAACCTTGAATCTTTGGTGAGCCAGAAAATGTGGGAAATGATATGGGTATCTTTGAGTATAATGAATTTTTTGAAAAAAAAAACTCAACTACATAGCTTCCTCAAATATAAAGGAATGAAACACATCCTCACAGCTTGTTTAACCCCCGAGGCATCAAGCTATTGTGACTACTTGAAGACCAAACATCAACTAAGCTTGATATTTTCCTTGCTCTCTCTTGGAATGTTGCAGTCAGTTTGTCCAGCGGGAAATCTGATTGTTTTCTCTCTCTTTTGTATGGCTTGTGGAATTATCTCTGCAAACTTTCTCACTAAAATTGACTCCATTATTGAAAGTACTCAATAAAAGATATCACTGTGCGATTGCAAAGAAAGAAAAGAAAACACTCAATAAATGAGAGGTGAGTTTAATTGTAAAAAAATATTGCACAATGCTTGTCAAAGGACAGGCAAGATCAGTGTCAAGTAAAAACAAAACAAAACAATCAAACAAACAAAACAAGCAAAAGCAAAACAAAACAGAGTTTGCAAGGTAACAAGATCAGTCTAAGGAAAAATTACAAAACAATCAAAAGCTAAACCACAATTGAGAACAGTAAGAATAAGATCAGTTTCAGAAAAAAACAGATGAAAACAATCAAAAACAAAAAATCAATTAAATACAAGGAATTGATGGTATCTGAGTTTAAATATTGATATGACATACACAGTTTGAAGGGATGGAAATGAGTGTGGGATTTCTGGGTGGGGAACAAGGCATTGCACCAGAAATTCCTTTTTTTGCCCAGATCTCAGCTTGTTTCCAGGAATATGGAGTTGGACTTGTACTTTGCATCCTGTAAATGACTCAACCTGCTATCTGGATTCAGCCTCCTGGTATCAGCTCCAGAAAATGGAGTGGTTTCAAAGCAGAAATGATTGTATGACCGGCTGCTGTTGTGGCAAGTGCAAGCACTGCAATGCAGAGATGGATGGGAAAACTGCCAAACTCTGTTGCCACATGAGTCAGGAATTTAAATCAATCTCTATCTAGGATTTTTCAGCCTATGAGGCAGTTGATATGAAGCATAAGCTTACACCAACAAACAACAAAATCACCAATGTCAATCCACTGAGTCCAATGGATCAACAATCTTTTCCACAAAGTGCCTGAACCACAACTTCACACAGTCTATGCAGGGCCCATACATCAGACCAAGCCTTGCACCAAAGAGAGAACTCTGGATACTTACAAAGATCTCCTCAAGGATCTTACTGGCCACATCACTTTTTGTGTTCTCCACAATAAATCATTCCTTTCCTTTCAACATAAGCTCCCTATCATACCTTACACTATGGCCTCATGATAAGTGATGATGAACACTTTCCTTCCTTGACTACGTGCACAATACTCAAAAGTGAGCAAAGACAAGCTCAAGCGCCATATAATCAACCTCACTATATAACTGTCAGCCCTGAGTACATATACATGTACCCAAAACTAACCTGTAACAGTAAAAAACATATGTATAAGATTAACTACATGTTACATACTGAGCATAGACTGTATGTAACATGTAATACAATGTATCAAAACCTTTATTACATATACATGAACCTGTAAAACAACATGTAATATGTAACAAAACACCATTTACACCTCATAACTCAGTGTCAAGAGTTAAATGCTTATATTACATACCACACATAAGATGTATATGTAATTAAGCATTACTAGTAACAATCATTACTACATGTCAATAACTAACCCTGAACCAATGTAGTGATAATAACAAATATCACTACAGTTAGGTTTAGAGAGGAGAGTATATAAACCCCTCCTCTCTCAGCCTTCAGAGAATCCCCCAAGAAATAATTACCCACTACTTTTGAAGAACAATTAAAGTTCAATTGAAGTAAAAATCAAGAGTCTTATATAAATAAGACTAGTGATAAGCTTCATCAACTTTAATCAGCTTCCTGATTAAAAGTAGGTAATACAATTCTTCACTCCCCCTGGATCCTCTACTTCCCCCAAGTAGAAACCCAATCAAGGCTAGTGACCTTCAACAACTTCAGGCTAGTGACCTTAAGAAGAACTTCAGGCTGGTGACCTTAAGAATAACCCTAAATTGGTGACTTTAAGGACAACCAGATTGGTGAACTAAATCACTCTTTGATCTGTTACTATAAGGATTAAAGGAAGGTCTTGGATCCAACCTTCTATTATAATAATACTCATTTATTATAAACTATAAATCTCCTCTTTAGGAGTCAATTAACTGTAGTCTGTCTGGATTTATCCAAACAGACCAGTCCCTTTTCACCTTCCTATTCTCTTTCTATATTTCTAGTTGTACTTACATTATATTTGAAATATAATTAATCAATTACAAACTATAAACCCCTACATAGCCCAACTTAGTGAGCCTTGAGTACTCCTCTGAGCACCCAACCCTCACAATAATTAGATGGTTGGACTGACTGCTCAAATAACAGTGCTTACATGGTCCTGCTTCTACATAGTACTTATGTCAAGAAGTTGATTGATGTCCTTGACCTGGCCAATGTTTGACACACATCCAAAAACACACTTGCTGCTTTGAAGAAAGCTCTGCATGGCAAGGATGTCACCTGTGAGCAAATTGGTGCAATCGGGAACAATTCACTAAGCTCTATGGTAAAATTGTGTCTAAGTATCTCTTATCCAGCTCTTAGTTTTTGGTATTTTTCTTCAACTGATTATACTTTTTCTCATTATTCATTGTAGTCGGCTTCTTCCTTGATCCTAACTATTGTCAAGTGGCTGTCTCACGTGCATTTACAATCAAACCAATTATGAAGCAAATCTTATCAATAGCTAAGGTGCAGAATTACAAAAAAACCCAAAGATGTAACTCTCAAAACACATGCGCTGCATTATTTCAGCAGTGGAGAAGCTTGTCATTTTTTTGGGCAAGGTAAAGTTTCCTTTTCCATTACAAGCTTCCCATTTTGATGTTTCCTGCTTTTCATAAGTTAATCACTGGTGCTCCAGTTTATGTACCACTCAACTACTGGCTGGCTATTCCATTGACTCCACACACAATTGTGCTCAAGAGCTTTGCCATAAAAGTTCTCAAACTCATTCCACATGCTGCAGGTGTGGAGAGTGTATTCACCAAGATGAGAGCCACAAAAACAAAGTCTTGGAATCAAATGTCCATGACTAACCTGAAGATGGTTGCCCAGATCAAACTACAAGTCCAAACCAATGATGCCTCTCCGAAGTTTCAAAATTTGACTGGCCAAGCAAACCTAGTTTTACTGTACTTCTTCAAAGAATTCTTCTGATAATTCACATAAACTGATTCCCATGACAGGGATATCTCTTGCCATTTCTTCAGGCTCCAATGCCGGATTATTAGAGTCATTTGGCACTGACATTGGACCAAGTCCATCTGCATTATTATAGAATTTTCCTGATCTATGTGTGATAGTCCTGAAAGGTTCATACTCTTGTATTGTCATCATCCATATCAGAATATGCCTACTTGGTTAACTCATATTTCTCAAAGATCTCCCACCTTTGCAATCAGTAATGACTTTGAAATAACTACCCTCAAGATAGCAATGTAGTTTTTCTAATGTCCAAACTAGTGCTCATGCCTCTAATTGAGGTGATGAGTACCTAGTTTCAGTATCTATCAATTTTATAGATATTAATATAATTTGGCCTTCTTTTGGCTTACCATCAATGAGTTGTGTTTGAGTGTAGCTCCATCCATTTCCTCGTGTTCTTTTGATACTCTTTGAACCTTGATTATGAAGGATCTGAGTGGAGGGTCCTTCTGGGAAGAGGCAGGACCTTGATTGCGCAAGAGTTCAGAGAACTTTTTTTCGGGAGTCCTTCTTTCGGACCATTCTTTACGGCTAAATTGCACAACCTTCCAACACCACGAATCCAACATTCACAGCAAGTCCCTACGCAGACTTCGATCGCCTGCGAGGGCTTTGTTGAATTTGCTTTAACTAGATTGTGTGACCCTGCAAATGCTCGGCCTTGTTTTACTTCACCTTCCCTTCATTCAAATACGATATTTCATCATGTTTCATCTTCTGATTCCAGCTTGAAATTGAACAAGAAAACCGAAGTGCAGCCCAGATAAATCCTCTACCTTGTGATGGGTTGTCTGCAAGAAGATACAGGTCGGTATACTCGGTTTTCAGGTTTCAGATTGTCATGAGATAACGAAGTGTGGAGTTTTCGATCTACAGAGATTCTTGAGATCTTTTGACCCTT